GGTACTTCTTCTGTCAGTTTCATTTCCAGCCCAATCGGAATCTACATATCCTGTAAGAATATTATTAAAATTAGCTACTTTATTGAATCTAAGCTTGATATTAACAGTTCCCTTAAGATATTATTGTTGTGGTTTGTATATCTGCTTAGAACACTTATTGAAGTACTTAAGACGGGCCGTGTACAAAACATAATGTACATCACACAACCAATTAAATTTCTACACGGTGCATCACATAATTCTTCTGATTGCAGAGCTGTATAGTCTAACTTGCTTGGAAGGGGAGTACTAACTGAATTACAATCTTCCATATAAAATTTTCTAAATACATTTTTAATATATGCTGACTGACTTAGACAAATCTCTCCATCAGTTTTATCAATTTTTAAACCAATTAAGTGTCTAATTTCACCTTAATCGGTCATTTGAAACTTGTCATGAAGGTAAGATTTAAAATTGGACATTGTATCAGATTTGTTTGTATCTTGTTACATATAACACGATATTTATATTTCTCGAAATATCTCCCTTATCCAAAATATATTATTATTATTATACTATTTCCATATTTACTATCTCTTAAGTATTTATTTAATTGTATTTAATTAATTTAATTTAATTCATATTCTTGTTTATTTTTCAAATGGATCTCATGAAGTCCTTGTAATTAATTTCAATTTTCATATTTACTAATAATCTTATATTCCTGTTGAATTTCATTTGTCTAAGCTTTTACTTATGTTAATTTTTTGTATGGATCTAGTTGGGTTTTACTGGGTTTCCCCAACTCTTGCAGCAAATGCTGGATCTAATGTGTCCCCAGAATTGAAAAAGAAAAGAAATGAAATGAAGAAACAAATTAAAACTAAAGCATAAACTCATGTTAAGAATTGAAGTGATAATCAATGTAACTTTTTAGGTGGTGTGTTGGAATTTGCATGTTCAAATGTACAAAAGTTACATGGATACTTGTGCACGCATGCATTCATGTTTGCATGAATGTATGTGTACCAGAAGTAGACGCACATTCCGATGGACAAAAGAAAACCGTTAAAGGTAACGGGACCATCGTGCTTCTTCTTCTTATATTCTCGTCGTTCTTTTTCTCTCCCGATATTCTCGTTTACTTCTTTCTGGTGTTGAGAGCGTGCGGTTCATACTAATCACACTACTAAGTGTGCATTATTATTTTTTCATTGGAAGGTTGCCTGTTTAATGCTTAATTGTATTATATCTATTTATTAAAAAAACCATAAGGGCAATCTGCTTCTCTCCCCAGAAGTTGCTTGTAATCTATCCATACGGCGGCGCTCAAGTAATAGTGAGCAAAACCAACAAGAACCAACGTCTGAAACATCTCCAATTACTTCACAAGATCAGTCAAACAATGAAATCTTGCGGACGCTGCGCGGGTATTGCCCCGTAGTTTGTCCTTCCAAATGGAGACCCCAAAAACTGAAAACTATCATTGATAGGGCGCAGTTCGAAGGGAAGAAAACCACTCTCCAATGTTTATCCGCTTATCTCCAGGGAATTTTTCCGATACAGGGTGAACAACGCACGCTGACGAGGCCGACACGGGGCACTCGGATTAGGAGAGAAAGCAAAAGGCAGCTGTACGCTGTCATGCAGAGAAACTGGGATAAACATACAGGAAGGTGCACTAAGTCCTTGCTTGAGGAAACTGATACGATTTGATGTGCGTAAGTGGTTCAATTTACCACCGGATGTGCCGATAGCATTCGTATAAAGATAATATATTGTTGCTTGGCAATGTTTATGACATTATGTCACAAACGACTTAAGCTACGTTTAGCCTCTTGAGTATCCTCTTAGATACATAAATTGTTTAAAACTGCTAAGGCTGCGTCACTCATCGAGTCCCCGCTTGATTCGATTTACCACGCAGGTGTGTCTAGCTACCCGTCTCCCATGCGACCGATAGCATTACTGTATGATGTGGTTTGATGTTTCGAGAGTATCATAACCTTCACCACACTATCGATCCAATTCGTGTCTTCCCCTCATAGTACTTCATGGGAGGAGCATTTATCCGGAGTTTAATTCCGTCTATGTATTCCTTTCCTGTTAGCAAGCGCGTGGGTTGCCTAACCCATCCGTGTTGGATGGTCTCCCGTTTCGCGGAGACCGTTGCCATCAACAGACATATACAATCTCTCTGCCCAATACATTTTGTTCAGCTAGCAACCCAACTCACGCCCTTTGATTTTCGTCTTCGAAGAAAAACCTGGCTACTTCGGATTGTTCAAAGTGAGGCCATTTTATATTGCTCAATCGTCTTTGACGAAGCATCGGAGCTATCCATCTTATTGATGGAATCTCGAGTCCCTCACATTTTGGGAAGCAGAAACGAATGCTATCGGCACATCCGGTGGTAAATTGAACCACTTACGCACATCAAATCGTATCAATTTGTTAGTAACACTCCCAAGGGTTAACTTGTGATAGAGCCGTGGGATAAGAACGGTTCGGAGGGCAAATCATTTTTGCTGTGGCTTTAGAAGAGCTTCGGACAAGCTTTGTACCTGGATTGCACTTCACTCTCCCGTTTACATTAAAGTTAATACCTAAATACTTCCACTCGTTAGTACGCTTCAATGATGGACACCCATTCAAGCCTACACGCAAGGTCTGTGGATCCAACACAGTACACTTCTGTTTCAGCATTTAGCTGTCTCACCAAGACTGAAGGCACCGATATTGGACAAAAGTCTTGCGGTCATTTTGCCGTCGCCGTCTTCGGGATGAAGATGGTTCTGACTAGTCGGATAAAGCGAGGTAATTTTCCGCACCATTGAATTATGTTACTTATGCCAAGCATAACGCCTGAGTTATCCCGTCAGACCCCGGAGATAATGCGACCCTTGACGCTCTAAGATCGCGCTTTGTAATAGCGGACCATACCGTCTCAAGCGAGTGATCCGTATGGGTCACTATATTTTCGCAAGAGCTTGGGCTTGGCTGAGTCATTATCTCCCTTCAATGGGATACCATGTATTCTTGGTTTGGCATTACCGATTTATCAGTTTCCTCATGCAAGGACTTAGTGCACCTTCCTGTATGTTTATCCCAGTTTCTCTGCATGACAGCGTACAGCTGCCTTTTGCTTTCTCTCCTAATCCGAGTGCCCCGTGTCGGCCTCGTCAGCGTGCGTTGTTCACCCTGTATCGGAAAAATTCCCTGGAGATAAGCGGATAAACATTGGAGAGTGGTTTTCTTCCCTTCGAACTGCGCCCTATCAATGATAGTTTTCAGTTTTTGGGGTCTCCATTTGGAAGGACAAACTACGGGGCAATACCCGCGCAGCGTCCGCAAGATTTCATTGTTTGACTGATCTTGTGAAGTAATTGGAGATGTTTCAGACGTTGGTTCTTGTTGGTTTTGCTCACTATTACTTGAACGCCGCCGTATGGATAGATTACAAGCAACTTGTGGGAAGAGAGCAGATTGCCCTTATGGTTTTTTTAATAAATAGATTTAATACAATTAAGCATTAAACAGGCAACCTTCCAATGAAAAAATAATAATGCACACTTAGATTAGTATGAACCGCACGCTCTCAACACCAGAATAGAAGTAAACGTGAATATCGAGAGAGCAAAAGAACGACGAGAATATAAGAAGAAGAAGCACGATGGTCCCGTTACCTTTAACGGGTTTCTTTAGTCCATCGGAATGTGCGTCTACTTCTCGTACACATACATTCATGCAAACATGAATGTATGCGTGCACAATTATCCATGTAACTTTTGTACATTTGAACATGCAAATTCCAACACGCCACCTCAAAAGTTACATTGATTATCACTTCAATTCTTAACATGAGTTTATGCTTTAGTTTTAATTTGTTTCTTCATTTCATTTCTTTTCTTTTTCAATTCTGGGGACACATTAGATCCAGCATTTGCTGCAAGAGTTGGGGAAACCCAGTAAAACCAACTAGATCCATACAAAAAATTAACATAAGTAAAAGCTTAGACAAATTAAATTCAACAGGAATATAAGATTATTAGTAAATATGAAAATTGAAATTAATTACAAGGACTTCATGAGATCCATTTGAAAAATAAACAAGAAAATGAATTAAATTAATTAAATAAAATTAAATAAATACTTAAGACATAGTAAATATGGAAATAGTATAAAAATAATAATATATTTTGGATAAGGGAGATATTTTGAGAAATATAAATATCGTGTTATATGTAACAAGATACAAACAAATCTGATACAATGTCCAATTTTAAATCTTACCTTCATGACAAGTTTCAAATGACCGATTAAGGTGAAATTAGACACTTAATTGGTTTAAAAATTGATAAAACTGATGGAGAGATTTGTCTAAGTCAGTCAGCATATATTAAAAATGTATTTAGAAAATTTTATATGGAAGATTGTAATTCAGTTAGTACTCCTAATACTCTTCCAAGCAAGTTAGACTATACAGCTCTGCAATCAGAAGAATTATGTGATGCACCGTGTAGAAATTTAATTGGTTGTGTGATGTACATTATGTTTTGTACACGGCCCGTCTTAAGTACTTCAATAAGTGTTCTAAGCAGATATACAAACCACAACAATAATATCTTAAGGGAACTGTTAATATCAAGCTTAGATTCAATAAAGTAGCTAATTTTAATAATATTCTTACAGTGTTATGGAACTGCATTTTCTCCTGGGACGGCGCCGGCTAGCTCCCGAATCCCCAGGGCGGAGTATCCCCAATATCCCTACAGTATCCACAACATAAACATCGATATAAGCGCGTCTCACTTCACAAAAACTATCGCTCATCACTAACAAACAAAACAAATCAAAATGTAAACAACACAATTATAATTGACGGGAAAAATATGGTGTCTTGGTGGCTATCGATGACTTAGCCAAGCACGCCCACCCAACCAAGGATGCCCCGGAGGATTCTGCGGATCATCACCCATAATCTGCTGGTCGAAGTCACTCCTCGCGACTAGGACAGCTCCATCTCCCCACAGCGACAACTCACTCGCACATTTCAGTCTTCATGTACATTTTAATTATCACCGTAAGTACTAAAGTTAACATAAATGCTCTTCTAGTAATTAATTCATCTTTTCTTAGCCTTTACGACCAAACTTGGCCACCGTCTACAAATTTACGCGGTCAAAGCGGAAGATTACCTTCCTTTGGTAAAGGCTACAGGCGCCGCGGAAAATATGTTCCACCAGTCACGTATTGGTGGAACTCACAGTGGAACGAGGCGCAAAAAAGGGCACACACTAGGTATGTGTCGGGTCACCTAATCCTGAGGAGCTCCTAGGGAAAAGAAGGAACAGGCCAAACGGTAAGTAGTACGCGCTGTAAACAATCCCGTCGAAAACTAATAATCGCGACTCTTTTTCAAAGGAAACAACGAGGACAAATTGAGGTTTTCGGGTCTAAGTCCGGATAAATATACAGGTCAACAGGTAAGTACATAAATTTAGTAATGTGCACATTTAAATTAACATTAATGATTTCAGCCACTTCTGGGCTAGGCGCCGGGCCAACTATGCCCCGACTACAGCGTACTCTGCCGCAGTAAGGGCCTGGAACACCACGAGGAACGGTGGCGAAGGCGAGACTGATGGCGGTGCCTCTCGACGCGGCGCGAATTGGCAGCCAGATAACCCCAAGGTGACTTAACAGCTCGGAACGGACTCACCGGCGTTTGTTATAAAAGCGTTGGCGGCGTCCGAGGAAGGCTAGTTATGCTGGTCTGCTTCGTATCGCTGGGTCGAACGAAGGTGCGTATGGATATGGATGCCAATCTCCGAATTAAATATTCCAATTTAATTAGTCCAATTTAATCCTCCAATTTAAGTTTCCAATTTAACTAGTCCAATTTAATCTTCCAATTTAAATAATCCAATTCAATTATTATAATTTGAAATCCCGATTTAAACTTCCTATTTAACTAGTCCAATTAAGTCTTCCAATTTAAATAATCCAATTCAATTGTTCCAATTTGAAATCCCGATTTAAACTTCCAATTTAATTAGTCCAATTAAGTCTTCCAATTTAATATCCCGGGGCCCTTTGTGTTGGGACCCCGGTTGCCCTACGAATAATTATTTATAAATAAAATAAACTATTAAACCTAACACAAATTTTTCTAACACTCACTTTTTTTTATATTTCGGCACAAACACTACTTAACTACTTTCTGTTCCATCTACTGGGACAATATGGCTGCGACTATATAAAAATTTGCCTATCATGCCTATATCTCGCCATATTCCCTTCGCCTCTCACGAAATTGGGTCATTGGACATATCAAGGCCATCCTAGCCATACCCAGAGCGAACCGGGCTAGTTTAAATAGCTAGATAGCCAAGACATCATCAGAAGGGGGCGCCACTCCAGTAGGGGTTGCCACCCTCCAACTTTATCGATAGCCCTACCCAAGACGAATACCGCCTTCTTAATTCTTCCAGCCGATTCCAACTCGAAATGCAACAACAGCATATGTAGATTCCGATTGGGCTGGAAATGAAACTAACAGAAGAAGTACCACCATCTTTTAAAAATGTTTGAAATTGTTTGGTTTCATGGAGTACTGAAGCAGAATACATGGCCTTGTTTGAAGGTGTAAGAGAAGCTCTTTGACTAAAATCACTAATAAATGAGATTAATCTAGAATTAAGTGGTCCTATAGATATTTTTGAAGACAACCAAGGTTGTATAAGTATTGCAAATAATCCTACTTGCCATAAGAGAACAAAGCACATAGATATTAAATATCACAAATCGCAAATTGATACACCGATCAACTCCTAAGGTTTCAAATCCAACATCCATCAACACACTTTCAAAAACTTCAAGCCAACATCTAGCAGCTTGCTTAAGACCATATATAACCATTCTCATATGAGTGATTCAGGCCTTTTGTAACGCTCATGTATATTTCATCCTTTAGAGTTTAAAAATTCTGTTTTTTATGATTAAACATTAAATCGTATTGATTTGAAAGTGCCAACAAAAATCTAAAACTGGTGCAAATGTCTCATTGTAATCAGTTATATATTCTTGAGTGAAGACCCGCGCTACAAGTCTTGCTTTGTACTTTACTAAGATCCCAAATTCATCTTGTTTTATACCAAATACCCATCTGCAATCAACTATGTTTTTATTTTCTGGCTTATGCACTAAGGACCAAGTATTATTTTGAAAATGAGAATTAAGTTTGTTCAGGCCACGAAGCACCCTGTTTTTTTCGCCCGGTCTTGTCCGCTCCGATCGCCAACTCGCCCGCTCTGGCTGCCTGCGCTTCCAGGCTCTCCATGAAGTCTCCAGTACGCTCGGAAGGGCATCGTGCTAATTATGTTTAAGCAGTACTCTAACGACTATCTACAAATAAACATCGCCCGGCCGCTCCGCGCAATTTACGAAAGGCCACCGTGATTTTTAATTCACTTACGTTTCTACTTCGTGCCGAGTGTTCTTTCTTATCTCCCTTCACAGCTTTGCTGCCTTCGAAAGGTTCATCGCCCCGAAACATTTTGATCATTTGACCGGATTTTCCAGCGTCAAATTACCACAAGATAAGTACGAACTTGTATAAAATTTATTTAATTGCCGATCATCAGTCAGCCATCGAAAACTCCGTTTCGTTTGACTTTCTGTATGATTTGTCTAAAATCAAACTCCGATTAATCCGACAACGGGAATTAAAATACAATTTCGGCCTTTCCTTGTTCTCCTTTGATCGTGCGGCCATTTTAATCCATTTTCCTTTTGTGCAAATTAAGTACATTTGGAGTACATAAGTACATTTGGCCGTACATTAAAGCCAATTACATACATTCCGAAATATACATAAGTTTGTTCAGGGTCTTATTGATCTTTCATTAGGACAACTGAACTCAATCTTGAACTGCTCCAAAAAAGTTTTAGACCTTAATTTTGTCTCGGAGATCGCCAATGCATTCGTTACTCAAATTAGCCATCTCTCCAATCCTACACTTAAGGTTACTGTAAAAGCTTCAGCTCCATTACAGTCATGTTCCGAAATCGAACCAGCATCTTTTCGCTATTTTCGAAGAGCTAAATTCGCAGAATTGAATGCATTAATCGGAACTCGACTGGTCTTTTATGGATTCGAGCGATGATCCCTTACATATTGTAGAACAGTTTTATGGTATACTCTACTCTGCTTTCGATACGTTCGTTCCCTCATTTCCCTCTGCAAACGCGCCTCAAAAGCCCCCTTGGTTGTCTCGTAGACTCTCTTTCCTGAAAAATTCCATGTGTAGACTGACTTAAGAGAATTGGGCTCCAAGTTGACCTTTCGATGTATCTAATAGCTCGTTCAAATTTCTTAGTCCATAATTCCGTATGTTACAATGGTTACCTAATCCGTTGCAGAATAGAATTCCAAGATAACCCCAAGCAGTTCTACGCATTTGTTAATTCGAAACGAAAATCGCAACAATTTGCATCTTGCCTTCACCTTGATACGACATCTGCCTCTAGTGACGCCGATATTCCGAACTTATTTGCAAAATTTTTCCAGTCCACGTACTCGTCTTTCAGTTACGATAACACTTCATCCTACCCCTACCCACTTCCTCACTCCAACTGTTTTTTCACGCCCTTAATTAGTGAGGATGATGTCTTACCAAATCTGAAAACAATCGAGATGTCTTTTTCTTCGGGCCCTGACCTTGTACCGAGCTGTGTTTTAAATAAATGTGCCGTAGCTTTGTGCAAATCTTTATCTCAACTTTTTTTTTCAGATATCCCCCCTTCATTCCTTTTTCCCTAAAAATTAGAAAAATTAACTTTCCACTTCAAAAAAATCTTTGGCTTTCAAAGTGAACGGTCGTGTTTTTTTTCTGCGCTTCAAATTTTGTATTTTTTTTTTTTTTTTCCCATCGGTGGGTTTTATCAAAACAATTTTAATTTTCTTCCGGTTATTCAAACATACATTTAAACTCCGTTCGCTTCGCGAGTGCACTTGTAATAATACTAATAAATTGTTTTAGTTTTCGTAATTCTTATCTGTGTTTTCTTTTCTTATATCCCCGCCGTTTCTCTTTTGTGCATGCACTTTAACTAATTTACGCTCCCGCTCTCTTGCTCTCTTTGCTTTGAAAGTTCTAAGCGTGCAGTTTCTGCGCTCTTGCGGTACTTATAACTGCTCGCTTATAAATTTCAATTCGTTTTCTTGGTACAGTGGTTTCCAATAAATAAAATGATAATAATAAACATTTAGTCTGCTTCTGCAAAAAATGCAGCCTCGTAATCAGGGCTGACCAGTCTAATATGACTTGCTGGCTGTGTGAAAATTTGTACACCAAGTGCGCCGGTTTTACTGGCCGGACAAGTGATGACCTTTCAAAGGGGCCCAATTTGCAGTTTTGTTGTGACGCTTGTGTCGAGGTTGCGAACGAGATGAAATCGTTCATGCGCCAAACTAAAGGCGGCCTTGATGGGGCTGATTAGCTGTTTCGGAGTTGCTAGAGATAGTTTTCGCCGAGCTGATGAACTCCTCTCTGCGCTGGACTCGCAGTTTAATAGTCGTAAGCTATTAGAAGAGTCCCCTAAGCGAAAAAAGGCCGCTGGTGGTAAGGACAAAAGGGGAACACCCCGCAACCGAAATCAAAAGAACAACAGAGCATTCCGGCGGATCAGCAGCTGATTTCAGCAAACCCTCAAATGTTGCTAAGATCAGCAGCTAAAAAAGATTCGGTATCCGAACAATCCGTAACAGAATGCATGCAACCAGGGACTTCTAAGAATTCCGATTTGTCCGTAGTGGTTTCACAATTAGTGGATCCACCTTTCTCTCAGAATGTAGCATCACCACCACAAGGGACTACTGAGTCCGGACAACCGGCTCAAGTTGGTTTTGCAGAAACAATGTCTGCTCCACCAAAATCCCTTTCAGTGGTTCCACTAAAGAAACAAATTTTCGTTTCTCGGCTTTCCCCTGATCAAACATCTTCTGATGTATTGTCTTATATACAAGACAAAACTAAAGCCGATTGTAATAGTGTAAAGGTGGAAAAGTTTAAGTTTTCTTATGCTAGAGACATTTCATCTTTCAAGATAACTGTCCCTAACGAGCTTTTTGAAGCCATATGCTCGGGCGACTTTTGGCCGGATAATATGGTTGTAAAAAGAGTTCGAGGAAGATAAAGAAGAAGGGGCCCGTAAGATAAAGACTTCCTATAAGCCAAACCAGTGTACCAATTTCAAAAAACTAACTTCTAACCTTCTTCTTTCCTATCAGAATGCAAGAGGTTTGCGTAGCAAACTCACTAAATTGTATTCCGATAGCCTTTCCTTTGCATCTCTTATTATTGTGTTTACAGAAACCTGGTTAAAGCCGGAGATCTTTAGCTCCGAAGTGTTTCCAGGTAAGTACACAATATATAGGTATGACCGTCCCTCTAGACGGGGAGGTGGAGTCTTAATTGGAGTTGATTCAAACCTCCCGTCTGAGGAGTTATTTTTTGATGAATTTAATACCATTGAATTTATTTGTGTAAAGTTATCGCTTCCTGGTAACTTTATA